GCTGCTCAAAAGCCCTAGCCAACTGCTCAGCCTCTGCCCCCCACCCTGACGGGAAATTCCCCCCCTTGTTCTCACAAAGGTTGTGGAGCACACAGCAAGCTGCCATCACCTGGGGGTTATTTTGGTCACCAAAGACCAGGTAGGTGAGGAGGCTCTGGAACCTTCCCTTCAAGTGGCCGAAGGCACCCTCCACAACGATGCTGCACCTGCTGAGCCTGGTGTTGGAGGTCTCCTTCGTGGGGTCCAGTGTCCCGTGTAGGGCTTCATGAGCAAGGGGTAGACTGCGTCACCCCTGATGCACATAGGCATGTCCACCTCTGGCGTGAATCCTCTGGAAGAGGCTGGAGTTCCTGAACACGTGTCGTGCGCTTTCCCTGACCACCTGATGTACATGTCCATGAACCGGCTCCAGTGGTCCACGAGGGCCTGCAGAACCATGGAAAAGCACCCCTTCCTATTGAGGAAATCCGAGGCACAGTGGTTGGAGGATAGGATGGGGATGTGGGTGCCATCAGTGGCCGCCCTGCAGTTGGGAAAGCTCCTGGTGGGAAAGCCCATGGCAGCAAAGCCAGCAATGATGGGATCCACGTCACTCAGGGTGATGACCCTGTGCAGCAGGATGGTGTTGATGGCCTTCACCACCAATAGGATCATAGAGACATAAAATCACAGGGTTTCCAGAGCCCTTGAGTGGTCCCCGAGTCCAACCCCCTTCCCACACCAGGAGCAACCCCAAGTACTGCACCCTTGGCAGGGCTTTGTGAAGCTTGGACTGAAAAACCTCTAGGGATGGAGATTCCACCCCTTTCCCTAGGGACCCCCATTCCAGTGCTTCACCACCCTCCTAGGACAGTAGTAAAAGAGTGATACCTGCATGAGCATGGCCCCGACGGTTGTTCTCCGCACTCTGAACTGGTTTCCCACAGAGCGGTAGCTTCTCCGGTGTGGCGAGCTTCCAAAGTATGATGGTGCCTGCTTCTGGAGGGGGTTGGCGGGTCTCCTCCGGGTGTCCTGTCACCGGAGAGCAGAGATGAGCCATTCGCAGAGCTCCAGAAAGGTGTCCTTCTGCATGCCGAAGTTCTGGAGCCACTGCTGGTCATCCCACCGCTCCATGACGATGCGATCCCACCAATTGGTACTGGTCTCACGGCGCCAGAAGCAGCGGCGCACAATGTGCTGGTGGGAGGGAATGTGGTGCATGAGGAGTGCCTGGACCTGGGTGAGGAGATTCCCCCATTCCAGGCTGATCGTCGACCTCCTGCAGCACCACATGGGCAGCCTGCAGGAACTGTGCCCGGAGTTGCAGTAGGAGGTCTAAGAGCCTGGTACTGCTTTGCAGCAGGGTCTGTTCCATGCTGGAAGTGCTGTGGCATCTGCAAGGTCATCCGGAACACATAGAGGGAAGAGTTTGCTGTCCCTCAAGGAGGTAGGCAATGGAGAAGAGTCTGAGACACAACTGTAGAGGGGACCCCCTTTAAGCACTAGCCTCAGCTAGCCTCAGGAAGCAGCTACAGGAAGTGATTGCTGTCCTGATGCCCTGCCTGAAGTGCTTCATGTGGCCTTAAATGCCATTTAGACTCCAGTGTGAACACGCTATTTTGATATAATTCTGCACTATTTCAATGGCGATTTGTAGTGTGGATGTGCTATTCCAAAATAGTTTATTTCAAAATAAGCACATCGTGTAGACGTAGCCATTCAGTCCAGTTTACTTCCATTCAGTTCAACTGACTACCACAAGAAACATGCTGGTAGGTATAAACAAACCAACAGTCAGGTCACGAGTGTTGGCAGTGAAGTATAACAGTATAAACATATCTGAATAAAAAACAAAAGACTGGGATGAGAAATGACAAATATGATTGCAGTTAAACTGTCAACACTGATAAACAAAAACTCTTCCATGTAATTAGGGTTTATAAAAAATCAAAAGTTTGCATGGGAGGTAGAACAGTATTAATTGTTTTTGTAGCATGCTTTGAGGTTTATAACATCATGCCTGGTGGTAGAGAAAGTAGATAAGAGAATGCTATTTACTTTTTCATAACATAAGAACTAGGGGTCACCAAATGAAATTAAGAGACAGTAGGTGTAAAACAAAGAAAAGAAAGTATAAATTCACACAGTGTAGTGTCAACCTGTGGAACTCCTTGCCAAGGGATATTGTGAAGGCCAAGACAATGACAGATTCAAAAAAGAACAATAAAAATTTGTGGAGGATAGGTCCATCAATGGCTGTTCACTGGGATGGTGTCCCTAGTCTCTGTTTGCCAGGGCTGAGAATGAGCAACGGGATGAATCATGTGATTACTTGTTCTGTTCATTCTCTCTGGGGCAACTGCACTGCCCACTGTCTCAAGTCAGGCTACTGGGCTAGATGGAATCTTTGGTCTGATGCTCTATGGCCAATCTTATGCTCTTATAAGGTCTGTGAATCGTCTTACAAAATTATGTTAATGTACTGTGTAATAATATTCCAAAAGGCTCTCATTTATAATACTACTAGTGTAGCATTTGGGATCATAGTTGTAGCATTCTGCAGTACTTTTTTAATAATAAAGGGAAAAGACAAATTATTATATTATCAAATTGGAATATAATGAGTTATACACATTTTTTAAAAGGAAGTCTTATTTTCTGATGCAGATTAGTGTGACTTGAGCATAGAGACACAAGGAACTCCAAGCTCTTATTTGCAACACAAAGGAATTCAAAATTTTCTACTAGCTATTCATGGTTCTGCCACAGATTTGCTGCAGGGTCTTGGTCAAGTCACTCACTTGATTTCTATTTATTAGCACATATGTAACATGGGGATAAAATGTTCATTAATGTTTGGAAAATGAACCAAGAACTGGATCTTAAAATTGCCATAGTAGTGTAAAATATATTGTCACAAGCAGCTGATTGCCTAAGAAACAAATGCTTGTAAGATAGCCCTAGTGCTAAAGAATTGGCAAAAGAGAGACTTGCAAGAAGAATCATGGGAAAAATTATATGCAAAGTTGTACATACAAATTATATGAACCTTCCTTCCTCTTTCCACCCTTCCCCTCCCCCGGTCAAAGAAGGTTATGAAATCATCTTCACTGCACATGTTTAAAGCTAATCTAGGCATCAGCCTACAAGGGATGGTTTAGGTATCGAAACTTGTGGTCTTTGAATACTGTACTTGGTTTTTGTCAGTCCTATACATCACATCTGTTCTTACTTTTCACTAAACATTGTCAGCCTGATTTTAAAATTCCAGGAGCCCAGGCATGCATGTAAAAATACACACACAATTGTGTCCGTAATTTTTATAGGGAATTACTTGTAAAAATTAGCAATCCTGAAGGCCAGTAAGAAAGCTGACATAGCCTAGCCCTGAATGAAGTACTTTTGCCAAAGAGGAACTGTCCACCAGTTCCAGAAATAGCAACTGTAACAAGCAAACACGCAAAAATACAATAGTGGTTAAAGTTTCTTGCAACAGGAAAATCTCAGAAATCAGTTCTTCTTTTAAGGTTTTTTTCTAAAGCCTGTATAGAATGAGTATGGGCTGAAACAGACACAGTGAGGGGGTTTTGCTGTTTGCTCAATATGCACTCGGAGTGTGAGAAGAGGAAGAAAGTGAAACACATGGCATTAGTACGTAATATGAACTTGGCCTGATACAGCGGAGGCAGATTGTTCTTCTGACCAGATGACGGCTGGATGATTATGTTTCAGAATTTCAAGTAGCAGTGGTAGCATTAGTATTATTAGTAGACATCTTTTTTAAACTATTGCATCAGCTTCTAGGAGGAGAAACTTCCCCTTCACTATTTGAGATTATGTGGTTGTTCCTTTTATTCCTTTTAAATTATTCTGCACCATTTTTATTCATTGTATTTATATTTATTTATTATGTTTATTGCAGTAGTGACTAGGGACCAACAAGGATGGGGCTCCATTATGCTAGGCACTGTAAGCTGCTGTTGGGTTGCACCTCAGGGAAGAGCTGCATTACAGTAGCTGAGAAGCCATGTTTGATAATCAGGAGCTATGGGAAGACCTACGGTCACAAAATGTTACCCTGCTCATCAAATGTGTGTGTTTGTTGCCTGTCACCATTGCACATCGCATGCTTCAGGTGTATCTATGCTTGTCGAAAGTGTTATCATTCACTTTCCTGTCTTACCCCTTTAAATGATAGGAGCCTTCCTGCTAATGTGCTGTGACGCCTCCCATTTCTGAGAGCACTTTCACTTTCTAGACGGCTGCTGACATAAAATAAGGCAAACACATGATGCTTTTGGGGAGAATTTACACGGGTTCTTTTTCCATTTGTTTTCCTTGTTTTGCCTGGGTGACTTGTTAGATTAGATGTTTACTCTTTATATATGGAAGAACAATAAGGAAGAATCCAGCCAGAGCAGTGACCGCATCTATGGGACATAACCCCTGTCTGACCATTCACTGAAACCGGAGGGTGGCTTGGGCATGGAACTGGTCTCCTCAAATGGTGAAGGGGGTTGCTGACATGTCTTCTGGACAGAATGTGGTGCATTGTGCCAGACAGAGTCTGAGATCCAAATGTTCTTAAATAAAAATCAATCTAAATCAAACACGAATGGCACAGAAAACACATCTATGCCTGTGGTTCCTAAGCCTTGCCTCGGTGAGCCCAAATCATTCAAGTTATTACATATAAGGTGCACACATCACATTAGTGCACACTCAGGCAGAGTCTCAGGCCCCCTCTTGGTTCATCTCAGTGTTGTGGACCTAGTCTACGCTACCGCGACCTGTTAATCTAAGTTATGCAACTTCAGCTATGTGAATAATGTAGCTGAAGTAGAAGCCAGGCGCTAGTCCCTGCCTCATCCCTGAGCCCCTCATCCTCCTTCCTTCTCCCTCCCCCATTCCAGGTTCTTTCATCAGTCCCTCCCCAGTTATATATTCCCTACATAAAAATGACTGAGTGTATTGTTTCAAAACAAAAAGTCTGTTTTATTTTATCTGCAGGTGAGGGGGGAAGGAAGAGCAGGGGGAGGGAGAGATGGAGAAGGAAAGGCACAGAGGGGCAATGCAGAGGCTCCTAGTGGGGTGGCCTAGGGGAGAGTCGCATGGTTGGCTTTGTTCTGAAACGCTCCCTCAAGGCCTTCCAGATGAGCACAGCCCCCTGATGGGCTTGCCGGATGGCAGTGGTGTGTAGCTGCTCAAAAGCCCTAGCCAACTGCTCAGCCTCTGCCCCCCACCCTGACGGGAAATTCCCCCCCTTGTTCTCACAAAGGTTGTGGAGCACACAGCAAGCTGCCATCACCTGGGGGTTATTTTGGTCACCAAAGACCAGGTAGGTGAGGAGGCTCTGGAACCTTCCCTTCAAGTGGCCGAAGGCACCCTCCACAACGATGCTGCACCTGCTGAGCCTGGTGTTGGAGGTCTCCTTCGTGGGGTCCAGTGTCCCGTGTAGGGCTTCATGAGCAAGGGGTAGACTGCGTCACCCCTGATGCACATAGGCATGTCCACCTCTGGCGTGAATCCTCTGGAAGAGGCTGGAGTTCCTGAACACGTGTCGTGCGCTTTCCCTGACCACCTGATGTACATGTCCATGAACCGGCTCCAGTGGTCCACGAGGGCCTGCAGAACCATGGAAAAGCACCCCTTCCTATTGAGGAAATCCGAGGCACAGTGGTTGGAGGATAGGATGGGGATGTGGATGCCATCAGTGGCTGCCCTGCAGTTGGGAAAGCTCCTGGTGGGAAAGCCCATGGCAGCAAAGCCAGCAATGATGGGATCCACGTCACTCAGGGTGATGACCCTGTGCAGCAGGATGGTGTTGATGGCCTTCACCACCAATAGGATCATAGAGACATAAAATCACAGGGTTTCCAGAGCCCTTGAGTGGTCCCCGAGTCCAACCCCCTTCCCACACCAGGAGCAACCCCAAGTACTGCACCCTTGGCAGGGCTTTGTGAAGCTTGGACTGAAAAACCTCTAGGGATGGAGATTCCACCCCTTTCCCTAGGGACCCCCATTCCAGTGCTTCACCACCCTCCTAGGACAGTAGTAAAAGAGTGATACCTGCATGAGCATGGCCCCGACGGTTGTTCTCCGCACTCTGAACTGGTTTCCCACAGAGCGGTAGCTTCTCCGGTGTGGCGAGCTTCCAAAGTATGATGGTGCCTGCTTCTGGAGGGGGTTGGCGGGTCTCCTCCGGGTGTCCTGTCACCGGAGAGCAGAGATGAGCCATTCGCAGAGCTCCAGAAAGGTGTCCTTCTGCATGCCGAAGTTCTGGAGCCACTGCTGGTCATCCCACCGCTCCATGACGATGCGATCCCACCAATTGGTACTGGTCTCACGGCGCCAGAAGCAGCGGCGCACAATGTGCTGGTGGGAGGGAATGTGGTGCATGAGGAGTGCCTGGACCTGGGTGAGGAGATTCCCCCATTCCAGGCTGATCGTCGACCTCCTGCAGCACCACATGGGCAGCCTGCAGGAACTGTGCCCGGAGTTGCAGTAGGAGGTCTAAGAGCCTGGTACTGCTTTGCAGCAGGGTCTGTTCCATGCTGGAAGTGCTGTGGCATCTGCAAGGTCATCCGGAACACATAGAGGGAAGAGTTTGCTGTCCCTCAAGGAGGTAGGCAATGGAGAAGAGTCTGAGACACAACTGTAGAGGGGACCCCCTTTAAGCACTAGCCTCAGCTAGCCTCAGGAAGCAGCTACAGGAAGTGATTGCTGTCCTGATGCCCTGCCTGAAGTGCTTCATGTGGCCTTAAATGCCATTTAGACTCCAGTGTGAACACGCTATTTTGATATAATTCTGCACTATTTCAATGGCGATTTGTAGTGTGGATGTGCTATTCCAAAATAGTTTATTTCAAAATAAGCACATCGTGTAGACGTAGCCATTCAGTCCAGTTTACTTCCATTCAGTTCAACTGACTACCACAAGAAACATGCTGGTAGGTATAAACAAACCAACAGTCAGGTCACGAGTGTTGGCAGTGAAGTATAACAGTATAAACATATCTGAATAAAAAACAAAAGACTGGGATGAGAAATGACAAATATGATTGCAGTTAAACTGTCAACACTGATAAACAAAAACTCTTCCATGTAATTAGGGTTTATAAAAAATCAAAAGTTTGCATGGGAGGTAGAACAGTATTAATTGTTTTTGTAGCATGCTTTGAGGTTTATAACATCATGCCTGGTGGTAGAGAAAGTAGATAAGAGAATGCTATTTACTTTTTCATAACATAAGAACTAGGGGTCACCAAATGAAATTAAGAGACAGTAGGTGTAAAACAAAGAAAAGAAAGTATAAATTCACACAGTGTAGTGTCAACCTGTGGAACTCCTTGCCAAGGGATATTGTGAAGGCCAAGACAATGACAGATTCAAAAAAGAACAATAAAAATTTGTGGAGGATAGGTCCATCAATGGCTGTTCACTGGGATGGTGTCCCTAGTCTCTGTTTGCCAGGGCTGAGAATGAGCAACGGGATGAATCATGTGATTACTTGTTCTGTTCATTCTCTCTGGGGCAACTGCACTGCCCACTGTCTCAAGTCAGGCTACTGGGCTAGATGGAATCTTTGGTCTGATGCTCTATGGCCAATCTTATGCTCTTATAAGGTCTGTGAATCGTCTTACAAAATTATGTTAATGTACTGTGTAATAATATTCCAAAAGGCTCTCATTTATAATACTACTAGTGTAGCATTTGGGATCATAGTTGTAGCATTCTGCAGTACTTTTTTAATAATAAAGGGAAAAGACAAATTATTATATTATCAAATTGGAATATAATGAGTTATACACATTTTTTAAAAGGAAGTCTTATTTTCTGATGCAGATTAGTGTGACTTGAGCATAGAGACACAAGGAACTCCAAGCTCTTATTTGCAACACAAAGGAATTCAAAATTTTCTACTAGCTATTCATGGTTCTGCCACAGATTTGCTGCAGGGTCTTGGTCAAGTCACTCACTTGATTTCTATTTATTAGCACATATGTAACATGGGGATAAAATGTTCATTAATGTTTGGAAAATGAACCAAGAACTGGATCTTAAAATTGCCATAGTAGTGTAAAATATATTGTCACAAGCAGCTGATTGCCTAAGAAACAAATGCTTGTAAGATAGCCCTAGTGCTAAAGAATTGGCAAAAGAGAGACTTGCAAGAAGAATCATGGGAAAAATTATATGCAAAGTTGTACATACAAATTATATGAACCTTCCTTCCTCTTTCCACCCTTCCCCTCCCCCGGTCAAAGAAGGTTATGAAATCATCTTCACTGCACATGTTTAAAGCTAATCTAGGCATCAGCCTACAAGGGATGGTTTAGGTATCGAAACTTGTGGTCTTTGAATACTGTACTTGGTTTTTGTCAGTCCTATACATCACATCTGTTCTTACTTTTCACTAAACATTGTCAGCCTGATTTTAAAATTCCAGGAGCCCAGGCATGCATGTAAAAATACACACACAATTGTGTCCGTAATTTTTATAGGGAATTACTTGTAAAAATTAGCAATCCTGAAGGCCAGTAAGAAAGCTGACATAGCCTAGCCCTGAATGAAGTACTTTTGCCAAAGAGGAACTGTCCACCAGTTCCAGAAATAGCAACTGTAACAAGCAAACACGCAAAAATACAATAGTGGTTAAAGTTTCTTGCAACAGGAAAATCTCAGAAATCAGTTCTTCTTTTAAGGTTTTTTTCTAAAGCCTGTATAGAATGAGTATGGGCTGAAACAGACACAGTGAGGGGGTTTTGCTGTTTGCTCAATATGCACTCGGAGTGTGAGAAGAGGAAGAAAGTGAAACACAGCCCTGCAGTTGGGAAAGCTCCTGGTGGGAAAGCCCATGGCAGCAAAGCCAGCAATGATGGGATCCACGTCACTCAGGGTGATGACCCTGTGCAGCAGGATGGTGTTGATGGCCTTCACCACCAATAGGATCATAGAGACATAAAATCACAGGGTTTCCAGAGCCCTTGAGTGGTCCCCGAGTCCAACCCCCTTCCCACACCAGGAGCAACCCCAAGAACTGCACCCTTGGCAGGGCTTTGTGAAGCTTGGACTGAAAAACCTCTAGGGATGGAGATTCCACCCCTTTCCCTAGGGACCCCCATTCCAGTGCTTCACCACCCTCCTAGGACAGTAGTAAAAGAGTGATACCTGCATGAGCATGGCCCCGACGGTTGTTCTCCGCACTCTGAACTGGTTTCCCACAGAGCGGTAGCTTCTCCGGTGTGGCGAGCTTCCAAAGTATGATGGTGCCTGCTTCTGGAGGGGGTTGGCGGGTCTCCTCCGGGTGTCCTGTCACCGGAGAGCAGAGATGAGCCATTCGCAGAGCTCCAGAAAGGTGTCCTTCTGCATGCCGAAGTTCTGGAGCCACTGCTGGTCATCCCACCGCTCCATGACGATGCGATCCCACCAATTGGTACTGGTCTCACGGCGCCAGAAGCAGCGGCGCACAATGTGCTGGTGGGAGGGAATGTGGTGCATGAGGAGTGCCTGGACCTGGGTGAGGAGATTCCCCCATTCCAGGCTGATCGTCGACCTCCTGCAGCACCACATGGGCAGCCTGCAGGAACTGTGCCCGGAGTTGCAGTAGGAGGTCTAAGAGCCTGGTACTGCTTTGCAGCAGGGTCTGTTCCATGCTGGAAGTGCTGTGGCATCTGCAAGGTCATCCGGAACACATAGAGGGAAGAGTTTGCTGTCCCTCAAGGAGGTAGGCAATGGAGAAGAGTCTGAGACACAACTGTAGAGGGGACCCCCTTTAAGCACTAGCCTCAGCTAGCCTCAGGAAGCAGCTACAGGAAGTGATTGCTGTCCTGATGCCCTGCCTGAAGTGCTTCATGTGGCCTTAAATGCCATTTAGACTCCAGTGTGAACACGCTATTTTGATATAATTCTGCACTATTTCAATGGCGATTTGTAGTGTGGATGTGCTATTCCAAAATAGTTTATTTCAAAATAAGCACATCGTGTAGACGTAGCCATTCAGTCCAGTTTACTTCCATTCAGTTCAACTGACTACCACAAGAAACATGCTGGTAGGTATAAACAAACCAACAGTCAGGTCACGAGTGTTGGCAGTGAAGTATAACAGTATAAACATATCTGAATAAAAAACAAAAGACTGGGATGAGAAATGACAAATATGATTGCAGTTAAACTGTTAACACTGATAAACAAAAACTCTTCCATGTAATTAGGGTTTATAAAAAATCAAAAGTTTGCATGGGAGGTAGAACAGTATTAATTGTTTTTGTAGCATGCTTTGAGGTTTATAACATCATGCCTGGTGGTAGAGAAAGTAGATAAGAGAATGCTATTTACTTTTTCATAACATAAGAACTAGGGGTCACCAAATGAAATTAAGAGACAGTAGGTGTAAAACAAAGAAAAGAAAGTATAAATTCACACAGTGTAGTGTCAACCTGTGGAACTCCTTGCCAAGGGATATTGTGAAGGCCAAGACAATGACAGATTCAAAAAAGAACAATAAAAATTTGTGGAGGATAGGTCCATCAATGGCTGTTCACTGGGATGGTGTCCCTAGTCTCTGTTTGCCAGGGCTGAGAATGAGCAACGGGATGAATCATGTGATTACTTGTTCTGTTCATTCTCTCTGGGGCAACTGCACTGCCCACTGTCTCAAGTCAGGCTACTGGGCTAGATGGAATCTTTGGTCTGATGCTCTATGGCCAATCTTATGCTCTTATAAGGTCTGTGAATCGTCTTACAAAATTATGTTAATGTACTGTGTAATAATATTCCAAAAGGCTCTCATTTATAATACTACTAGTGTAGCATTTGGGATCATAGTTGTAGCATTCTGCAGTACTTTTTTAATAATAAAGGGAAAAGACAAATTATTATATTATCAAATTGGAATATAATGAGTTATACACATTTTTTAAAAGGAAGTCTTATTTTCTGATGCAGATTAGTGTGACTTGAGCATAGAGACACAAGGAACTCCAAGCTCTTATTTGCAACACAAAGGAATTCAAAATTTTCTACTAGCTATTCATGGTTCTGCCACAGATTTGCTGCAGGGTCTTGGTCAAGTCACTCACTTGATTTCTATTTATTAGCACATATGTAACATGGGGATAAAATGTTCATTAATGTTTGGAAAATGAACCAAGAACTGGATCTTAAAATTGCCATAGTAGTGTAAAATATATTGTCACAAGCAGCTGATTGCCTAAGAAACAAATGCTTGTAAGATAGCCCTAGTGCTAAAGAATTGGCAAAAGAGAGACTTGCAAGAAGAATCATGGGAAAAATTATATGCAAAGTTGTACATACAAATTATATGAACCTTCCTTCCTCTTTCCACCCTTCCCCTCCCCCGGTCAAAGAAGGTTATGAAATCATCTTCACTGCACATGTTTAAAGCTAATCTAGGCATCAGCCTACAAGGGATGGTTTAGGTATCGAAACTTGTGGTCTTTGAATACTGTACTTGGTTTTTGTCAGTCCTATACATCACATCTGTTCTTACTTTTCACTAAACATTGTCAGCCTGATTTTAAAATTCCAGGAGCCCAGGCATGCATGTAAAAATACACACACAATTGTGTCCGTAATTTTTATAGGGAATTACTTGTAAAAATTAGCAATCCTGAAGGCCAGTAAGAAAGCTGACATAGCCTAGCCCTGAATGAAGTACTTTTGCCAAAGAGGAACTGTCCACCAGTTCCAGAAATAGCAACTGTAACAAGCAAACACGCAAAAATACAATAGTGGTTAAAGTTTCTTGCAACAGGAAAATCTCAGAAATCAGTTCTTCTTTTAAGGTTTTTTTCTAAAGCCTGTATAGAATGAGTATGGGCTGAAACAGACACAGTGAGGGGGTTTTGCTGTTTGCTCAATATGCACTCGGAGTGTGAGAAGAGGAAGAAAGTGAAACACATGGCATTAGTACGTAATATGAACTTGGCCTGATACAGCGGAGGCAGATTGTTCTTCTGACCAGATGACGGCTGGATGATTATGTTTCAGAATTTCAAGTAGCAGTGGTAGCATTAGTATTATTAGTAGACATCTTTTTTAAACTATTGCATCAGCTTCTAGGAGGAGAAACTTCCCCTTCACTATTTGAGATTATGTGGTTGTTCCTTTTATTCCTTTTAAATTATTCTGCACCATTTTTATTCATTGTATTTATATTTATTTATTATATTGCAGTAGTGACTAGGGACCAACAAGGATGGGGCTCCATTATGCTAGGCACTGTAAGCTGCTGTTGGGTTGCACCTCAGGGAAGAGCTGCATTACAGTAGCTGAGAAGCCATGTTTGATAATCAGGAGCTATGGGAAGACCTACAGTCACAAAATGTTACCCTGCTCATCAAGTGTGTGTGTTTGTTGCCTGTCACCATTGCACATCGCATGCTTCAGGTGTATCTATGCTTGTCGAAAGTGTTATCATTCACTTTCCTGTCTTACCCCTTTAAATGATAGGAGCCTTCCTGCTAATGTGCTGTGACGCCTCCCATTTCTGAGAGCACTTTCACTTTCTAGATGGCTGCTGACATAAAATGAGGCAAACACATGATGCTTTTGGGGAGAATTTACACGGGTTCTTTTTCCATTTGTTTTCCTTGTTTTGCCTGGGTGACTTGTTAGATTAGATGTTTACTCTTTATATATGGAAGAACAATAAGGAAGAATCCAGCCAGAGCAGTGACCGCATCTATGGGACATAACCCCTGTCTGACCATTCACTAAAACCGGAGGGTGGCTTGGGCATGGAACTGGTCTCCTCAGATGGTGAAGGGGGTTGCTGACATGTCTTCTGGACAGAATGTGGTGCATTGTGCCAGACAGAGTCTGAGATCCAAATGTTCTTAAATAAAAATCAATCTAAATCAAACACGAATGGCACAGAAAACACATCTATGCCTGTGGTTCCTAAGCCTTGCCTCGGTGAGCCCAAATCGTTCAAGTTATTACATATAAGGTGCACACATCACATTAGTGCACACTCAGGCAGAGTCTCAGGCCCCCTCTTGGTTCATCTCAGTGTTGTGGACCTAGTCTACGCTACCGCGACCTGTTAATCTAAGTTATGCAACTTCAGCTATGTGAATAATGTAGCTGAAGTAGATGTACTTAGATCTACTTACTGTGGTATCTTCACTGTGATAATTCAACAGCTGACACTCTCCCGTTGACTCTACCTTCACTTGTTCTGGTGGAGTACTGGAGTTTACAGGAGAGCACACAGCAGTTGATTTAGCCCATCTATACTAGACACAATAAATCAACTTCCGCTGGATCGATTGCTGCTTATAGATCCGGTGGGTAGTAAAGACATGCCCTGAGTATCAGCCCTTTGTGCCCTGAGTATCAGCCCTTTGTGCCTGTGAGCATCAATCATGCAGAGAGACCCCATCTCCTTCTCTCCTAGGAATCTCTCCTGCTGTCTATGCAGGCCTGTAAATTATATCTTTGATCGCTTTGAAGAGGTCAGGTTTTAACCAGTATTGTCAGCTTAACTATCTTGTTCCTATTTGAATAAAACATGGGATTCCAATGTCTGTGCAGGGGCAGTCTCCTGCAAAGTGGGTTAATCTCCATTTTTCTTGGAAAATAAGGTAGATTTCCACTTCCTATCTCTTAAGGAACATTAATGCAAAATCTTCTTGGAACTTGCATGGGTGATTCACCCGCTTTTTCCAGAAACAGTGGTTTCCTTTCTTGCTGGTGCTGATTCATTAGTAAGTAGATGTGTCTCTTTTTGAAATGGTTAGAATGCTTCCCTCTCCCAGGGCCTCTCTGTCTTCTTTTGCTGATGTTTCCAAATTTTCAACAATCCTATTCATATCAAATATGACTTTTCGGCTGACACAATTTACTCCGTCACACAAGTACTGCCCAAGCCCAGCTTCTGCTTATGAAGGACAATTTGGGTCATCTTCAGGAAACAGGGACTTTCCCAAGTCCCCCATTTTTGCTTGTCCTTAACCTTACTCAGACCCAGAAGGTCCTTTGCTTTGTGTTGATCATTGTCATATTAGTGCCAAGAATCCAGGCTATGC